GAATCTGCGTCTCATTCAGCTCGTCTGCTGTTTCTGTTTCATGCAGATATTTGTATGTATATTTTCACAAAACTGAAGTCAAACCATTCTGTTTTTGCTTCAAATTTCGAAATTATACAATCTAATTTAGATTAAAAACTGCTCTTTGTTTGGATCATGATTAAAATGCAGTGGTTGCCTCTAATTTTAAATGGAAAGAGCACAGACAAAGCCTTATTTTGTTTATATGAAGAGATTTATTTTATTTGTGTTATTTATTTGATTTGGGGCTTGTTTTAAAATTTTAGTTTAGTTTTGTTATTTACATTTACATTATATTAAAATTTTGTTATTTACAAGACACTTTTATCCAAAGCGACTAACAAATGAGGACAATAGAAGCCATCAAAACCAACAAAAGAGCAATAATATACAAGTGCTATATTAGTATATTATTATAGTTATATTTCAATTTCACAAAGTGCAGCATTTTGTCCAAGCAGTAATAAAAGGGCACATTTAATTTATAATTGGTCTTAAATCTCATTTTGTAAAAAAAAAAATCGTGAATCGAATCGTGAGTTGAGTGAATCGTTCAATCCCTAATACTGACCTTCAAAGAAAAGTAGCTACAAACTAAAACTTGTGCAATATTGTTTACGTTGACGTGTCCTATTTTATTCAACTGGGAAAAGAACTGTAAAACATTGGAGAAAAATGAATTCAGTCAGCCTTTTTTCAGCAAGGATGCATTAAATAGAGCAAAAGTGACAGTAAAGACTTTAATAATGTAATTAAAATCTTTTTCAAATAAATGCTGTTCCTTTGAACTTTCTATTCATCAAAAAATAAAAAATAAAAGTTTTAGCATTGATAATAATCAGAAATGTTTCTTGAGCAGCAAATCATAATATAATGATTTCTGAAGTAAAGTAATGATGCTGAAAATTCAGCTTTGATCACAGAAATAAATTACATTTTAACATATATTCACGTAGAAAACAGTTATTTTAAATTGTAATAATATTTCTCTGTTTTTGCTGTATTTTTGATCAAATTAATGCAGCCTTGGTGAGCAGAAGAGACATAATTAAAAACCTTATGGACCCCAAACTTTCGAACAGTTGGATGAATAGAAAATATATTAGCTAATTTATTATTTAGTTCAACATGACCAATATTTTCTGAAGGTTTTTAGAAAATGCAATTTTTTTTCTCTCACCATTTGTTGACTTCATTTCTTAAGCATTTCAGGCTCTATTCTGTACCCTGTCTGTGGAAAGTGCCAATAATACTGATATAATTTAATATTTTTATCTTATTTGGTTTAGTTGTTCTTACCTGCAGCAATGGGAATCCCCACAAGATTGTAGATCAGTGCAAATACAAAGTTGATTCTGATTCTTTTCACTGTCTTCTTAGAAAGGTCGATACTCCCAACAACATCAAGAAGATCGTTCTGTTTATAACAAAAAATTAATAAATAAATTGATGAATCAAAAAGTGCCATCTCATGTTAATCTAAACCATACAGTTTTGTGTTAGGGTTAAAAAAGGGGGGTAAGAAAAGGATACAAATTTCTAGCCCTACAAATGGTTAAAAATGCTACTTTTGTAAAAATAAAGAAATAAATTAATTTTAAAAAATCTCAAACAGGCAGATTTGATACTTTTAGATTCTAACATCCAAGTGCAAGCCTTCAGATCAGCAGGTTAAGACTGACAACATTAATTCAGCTTCAACCACATGTCTCAAGATAGCACAGCTATTACAGTCTTCATTAGGGCTGCGACGATAAATCGATTTTTGGATTGATTCTGAGATCTTCCGAATGCATCGCGATTCTTTCTGCAATCGATTCTGAGCTTAGATTTTAACAGCAGATGGCGCTCTAGGCCAGTTTTTATCCGCACACTCAAATGCTCACGAAGAAGAGCGCTGAAGAGTCTGTAATTTCACCTCGGCTCAGAATGCTTTTATGACGATTGATTAATGTAAACACAGCCCACTGTGAACACCCTTGCAATGCGCTACAACCTTTTCGAATTTTATGAATGATTATTTTAGGTTCAAGTGTGTGTAAGGATTTGGAAACAAGCAGAGTATGGGCTGTTTCTAAAGCATGCAGTCAGAATTGACTCGAGAAAGAACGATGAATATGAACGATGCATATTAAAGTAGTGTTCATAAGCGCAGCTCTGCTTTGTTTACAGCGGTAAACACTGTATCATTGCTGTTCATAAGCGCCACCTGCTGGCAGAGAGTGAATCTGCGTCTTATTCAGCTCGTCTGCCGTTTCATGCAGATATTTTTATGTAGTATAGTTTCACAAAACTGAAGTCAGACCATTCTGTTTTTGCTTCAAATATCGAAATTATACAATCTAATTTAGATTAAAAACTGCTCATGCAGCGTGTATGCAGCATCTTTGTTTGGATCGTGATTAAAATGCAGTGGTTGCCTCTAATTTTAAATAGAAAGAGCACAGACAAAGCCTTAGTTTGTTTACATGAAGAGATTTATTTTATTTGTGTAACTTACTTATTTGATTTGAAGTTTGTTTTTTAGTTTTAAATTTAGTTTTGTTATATTTCAATTTCACTAAGAAACGTGCAGCAATAGCCTAATAAAAGGACACCTTTTCATTTACTGTATAATCTCATTTTTTTTCGTGAAATAATCGTGAGAAAATCAAATCGTGAAATCAAAACCGTGAATCGAATCGTGAGTTGAGTGAATCATTACATTCAATTCAAGTTTATTTGTATAGCCGTTTTCACGATGCGAATCATTGCAAAGCAGCTTTACAGAAAATTAAAGCTTCTACAATATATTTAGCAATAGCTTATCAGTGGTGATTATCTCAAGTTGATGTCCATACGGCAGAAATGCACGGTAAAAATCAAGCAGTTAGTTAATGTCATGTAATCAAACAGACGGTGAACACTATTAACAGCAATGATTATATGTTGCGGTCAAACTTACAGCAAAATTTGGTAGTTTTGTATGTTGTCTGAATCCCTAGCATTCGGAAAATCTCAGAATTGATCATTTCTCGATTCGCAATGCATTAATTTATTTTCCCAGCCCTAGTCTTCATACCCTGATGAGCACCACGTCGGCTGCCTCGATGGCTACATCCGTGCCCGTGCCTATAGCGATGCCCACATCTGCCATAGCCAGCGCCGGCGAGTCGTTCACTCCATCGCCCACCATTGCGACGCGTTTTCCCGCTAGCTGGAGCTGCTCCACTTTCGCCACCTTGTGAGATGGCAAGACCTCTGCAAACACCTTCCTGATGCCCACCTGGAAAAACCCCACAACCTCAGCTGCTAAACAATCACCGCTCCAAGAGAACAATCATCACTGAAGGGAATGTTAAAGGGTGCTGTACCTGGGCAGCGATGGCTCGGGCTGTTTTGCTGTTGTCTCCCGTCATCAGCACGACCTCCAGCCCCATTGCTGTGAGAGTGTGGACGGCCAGCTCAGCCTCAGGCTTCACCGTGTCTGCTATGGCCACCATTGCACAAAGCTCATCTGAGAAGGATGCAGCACACATGCTCAAAATAAACAAACCAGAAAATCTTGAATGTGAGGGTGCAAAAAAATCTAAATATTGAGAAAATCACCTTTAAATTGAGATTTATGAGTCTTTAGCAATGCATATTACTAAACAAAAATTAAGTTTTGAAATATTTACGGTAGGAAATATCTTCATGGAACATGATCTTTACTTAATATCCTAATGATTTTTGGCATAAA